ATTCCCAGTAGTGGAATTGCTGGGTCAAATGGTATCTCTATTTGCAACTTTTTGAGAAAGCACCATACCGCCTTCCACAGTGGTTGCACCATTTTACATTCCCACCAACAATGAATAAGGGTTCCAGTTTCTCCACAACCTCGCCAGCATGTGTTGCTTGCTATAACTTGTTCTTATTTGGAGTATCTTAAATTGATGATCCTTGAAATTGCCTGCTTGCTTGTGACTGAAGTAGAACTGCGCTCAGAGTGGTTTGCTTTGCCCATAGGGGCAGCCAGTCTGCACTGCAGGGTGTTTGTGGGTTGAAGCAATGGCTGATAACTGGAAAGGACTTGGATGCCACCCAACCAGCAAGCACAAGGCTTAGGAAATAGAAGTTAGACATTATCTCACCAGCCAGAATCCATATTTCCCCCAGCATCCAGATGAGTAGGATTTGAGAGTGAAGGAAGCATTAATCCAAGTAGTTCTGGCTCAAGATAATGTTCTATATCTTTTTATGTTTGTAGAGTTTTCTAGGAGTTTCCAAGAGTATGCCAGTGATAAAATCATAGCTAAAGCTTTCGTGGAATAAGTTGAGGTTTTGTTGGGTTGGGGTTTCCCCCCCCCTCAATCCTAGAAAATTTTACATAATATTGGTTAATGGTGAAATATTTGGGGAGAATATTCATAAAATACATATTAACTTCCTCATTTGCAAAGCTTGCCTGTGGCAAAACAAAAACCAAAACAACCAAAGATCTGGCCTGGACCAGATTTCTATTTCAGTGACCTATTTCTATTGTAAAAGGTGTGTAGCTTTATTGGATTTTTGTATAAATTTATTTTTAACAACTGCAGAATCAAATGGTTGAATGGCACTGAAGAAGGAAAAATTAACCAGTCTCTTAATTCCTGCATTATTTTGTATATTGAAAATTATAACTATGATTATTTTGATGGTTTATCTTTTATAATGGTAGAAATCCAAAAAAAGAAGTTGCTTTTCTGGTTTGAAAGTAAATAAGGCTTTGATTTTTTTTGTTGTGGTTTTCATTTTTTATTTTATTTTTTATTTCCCTTGTGTACTGTTGAATCAGATCTGACTGGCACAAGAGGAGATTTCTCTTCATTCTTCAGCAGAGCATCTGGTGGATTCGAACCATGCGTCTTAGGGATTTCAGTGCCACTTCTTGCCACTCCCTGCCACGGGCTGCTCCAGTCAGGAGGGGCTTGTAAGCCTGAGGTCTAGGGTCTCAAAGAGGGAACACGAAGGTGGGTAGAAGTTCAGCGAAGGGACGATGAAAGAACACAAGACAACAGTCAAGTGATCTTGATGATTTTAATTCTAAGTCATTCTAATTCTTCTTCTTTCTTCCTTCCTTGCTTATTGCATTTAGCATGATACATTTATATCCCATTTTTACGATTAGGGGCTTAACAATAGCCAAAAAGACAACAAAAGTAAGAATAAAGTTTACATTATTTTCTTGCACACAGCTATTTTTTATGGTCATGGTTTCTTGGAGAGCACGAAAGGCTATTCTTTATGGTCATGGTTCCTTGGTAATTGGAGAGCTTGGTAGACAATGGCTTTTCGCTTAAACATTTTT